TTTTTATCTCTTCTTCTTTATCTCTGTTTTTGTGAGCTTTTATCAGCCTCCTTTTGATGAAGAATATATTTACATGTTATTGCAGTTTGCTATTCTTTAATATTCCCATGTCTATTTCTATATGCTGGAAGTAGGAAAACTGCCAAATGTAGAAATGACTGTTACAAAAATCTGTCATTATCAAGGATTTACTGTGTTCTAAGAGTGTGTTAAATTGCAGTAGTACATTTATTTAAGTATAATATGAAGACTGTAATTTTGTTTAATCTACAGCTTTTTAATTCCCAAACATTAAAATAACAATAATATTTGGATGGAAAGTAGTTAAGAATATAGGTATAGCAAATTAATTTTACCATTTTATTCATTATTGGTCAAGTGTCTAGTCGTGACTAGTTCTGGACATTGTACTTAATAGGGATGAGAAAGGCTTGGAAAAGAGTTCAAAGGAAAGCCATAAAGAAAATGAAAGGATTTAAAAGTAGTTTCTAGGGCTGGCCCCCTGGCTCACTCAGGTGAGTGTGGCGCTGGGAGCGCCAAGGCTGCAGGTTCAGATCCTATATAGGGATGGCCGGTGCACTCACTGGCTGAGCATGGTGCGGACAACATCATGCAGAGGGTTGCAATCCCCTTGCTGGTTAAAAAAAAAAAAAAAAAGAAGGTTCTGTTGTAAAGGACTAAAGAAACTCAACTCTTAACCTTGAGATAAGAACAGTGAGAGAACTCTTAATAATTCTGTTTCAGCAAAAGATATTCTTAGAGGACTGTGGTAAGCATGTTTTCCTCTTAACTAAGCCCATAAAAAGAGAACATTGAATTTAGATATAAGAAAATATTTACTGACTAGCATTGTTGAACTCTGGTCTAGATTATCCAGCTGGGATTGTGGAATTTGACAGTAGAGGGACCTCTCAAGAAGAACTACAGTGGTATTCTGCTTCAGTACAAGATGGCAGTTTGGTGGCACTTAGAGATCTTAGCTAATACCTTAGTAATAACCTAATAAGAAAAGTAGGTGTGAGGGCCGGCCCGTGGCTCACGTGGGAGAGTGTGGTGCTGATAACACCAAGGCCCCGGGTTCGGATCCCACATAGGGATGGCCGGTTAGCTCACTGGCTGAGCGTGGTGCTGACAACACCAAGTCAAGGGTTAAGATCCCCTCACTGGTCATCTTTTAAAAAAAAAAAAAAAAGAAAAGTTGGTGTGTTCCAGTGACAAATAGTTTCTTTGTACGGCCGAGATAAGAAATTGTTCCCACAGTTCCTAAAGAAATCCTCAGAAAGCACTCATTGGCACAGATCCACCCAGAAAAATTAAAGGGGAGAGGTGTGTGTGGTAGCATTAGCTTTGGTTAATTCACCAGTGTACATTTTGAGAAAAAAATAAATAAGGTTAACCTGCTCAATGAATGTCTGCTTCGTATTGAGCTTGAGAAGGGAGATAGAAGTATTCTGTCCTTCTGTTGATCTTAGTCCTTTTAATGCCTCTCATAGTGTTATCATTGGACTATAGTAAGTATGATTCTAGTGTTTAGAAATATTTATTTTTGATAAAACACCTCCAAATGCAAGCTAACTTTCTCATTTGGTGTTTATTCAGAGTACCATAAGCTACTGAAATACTAGAGGAAAAGAGATGATTGGACTTCCCAAGGGCTTTTTTTCTAAGATAATTTTGACTATCCATAATTCTCACCTTATGTGCTTACTTCATACCCTAACCCCGTATGTGACTGTGCAGTATATCTGTTCAAGACTTACTGCTGTAAGAGGATAAGGTGTAGATATGTCTGAATATTTTATTTAGTAAGTTTTCATATAGACAGAGGGCAGTGTTTTTTCAGAGGTTTTCCAAAGGATATTAGATTTGCTTATAGATGTTAATGTGTAGCTGACTGAATTAGTTAGGATTCTTTAGTTCCAAGTAATAGTAACCAGCGTAAACTAACTTAACCTTCTGTATACGAAGAAAAACAGTCATCACATTTACTGTCTTGGTCCAATAGACTATTTTAATCTTTTTATATTAAGTCATTTTATAAATAACTTACAGAAGTATGAATAAAGTAATGGTGAAAATCTTTATTAGAAATTTTAATAATAATTTAAATATAGCAAATCCAAATTTTTATTTCATATTTTTCTGGTTTTGAAACATATACACACAAAATAGGTAGTGTTCTTTGAATTCAGCTAACTGCTTATTAACTATTTTTGTGTGTTTTTTAAAATTAAATTTTTTGTTGAAACATATTGATGGCACATGTTAACTCTTAAGCATAAATGAGAATGTTTCTATCTTGTAAATACTGGTTCCAGATTTTAATTATCCCCCCTAGTAGATTTTAGGTTATCATTACTTCTAATTCTTTTTTTTGACCAGTAAGGGAATCGCAACCCTCGGCACGGTGTGGTCTGCAACATGCTCAGCCAGTGAGCACACTGGCCATCCCTATATTGGATCCGAACCTGTGGCCTCAGCGCTACCAGCGCCGCATTCTCCCGAGTGAGCCATGGGGCTGCCCCCTTTTCTAAATTTTTTTTTGATCATTACTTGTAATTCTTGACTTTTGTCATTAAAACTGACAGTTTTGAAAACTTTAATGGCTCATTTTTTTTAAAAAAAATTTAATCATAATTGATTATGCATATTTTGGGTATTCTGTGTTGATCAAATCAATATTACTAGTATGTGTATTGTTACAAATTGTACTTATTCTTTATGCCTCTTGTCCAATTTCTCCCCAGCCCCTCTCCCTCCTCCCTCCCACCACTGATAACTGTAGATTTCTTCCCTCCCTTTGAAAGAATAATGGTTACTCATTGATTTGCTGCTTAGATGAACTGTCCAATGCTGACAGGTGTGTTCAGGTCCCCTAATATTATCATAGAGCAGATGCTTCTTCTGTCGCTCTGGAATGGGCTTTGTGGAGAGAGTCATCCTCTTCTTTTTTTGGGTCTCTGCTGGTGACTCTCCTTGTGTCAATGCACTCCAGTGGCTGGTGGACCATCTATGTGGCGGTTATGGCATCTAGCCACTTTTGCGGCAACCATGGTAGCTGTGGTGGGCCACCCACATGGAGGTGATGTTTTTGGCATGTTCCTTGGCACTGGCGGTGTGCCTGGTTGTGGACAAGGGGCTGGTCTCTGGCTCCATGCCCCAGGTCCCCTGATGGCCCCAAGGCACTGGTGGTGTTCCTGGGCCGGAACTAATTTTTTGTCCTTTGCTTACTTCTAAAACGGGCGAACTTCCAGTGGGAACCAGTACTTGAGCTGTGTCGTTGCACTAAATTGCTGCTTTGCTGCTGTTTCCCTAGGGAAGGCTTTTTGTGCAGCTCAGGGTTTAATGGTTGACCTTATAGGTACTTCCGGCTCTCCAGAGACCCAGTGCACCTGGATTGTGTAGAAACTCTGATCTGGGCCTGAATCTTGTCATCAAACTGCACCCCATGCAATTCTGCATTCCTGACCAGTCTCCTCTGAGTGGTCCTGTGCTGACTGGGGGTCTGATTGGCTGTCCTTGCAGTGTCCCAGTTTTCTTCTGGTGGGCCTGTCCCCCCCACCCACACTTCATGCGCGATGGGTCCTGCACGGGTCCCATGCAACAATGACTTACTGGCCTCTTAATGGCTCCCCTTTTTCAGCTGTTCTTTTTTTTTTTTTTTTTAAAGATGACCGGTAAGGGGATCTTAACCCTTGACTTGGTGTTGTCAGCACCATGCTCAGCCAGTGAGCTAACCGGCCATCCCTATATGGGATCCGAACCCGTGGCCTTGGTGTTATCAGCACCGCACTCTCCCGAGTGAGCCACAGGCCGGCCCCTCAGCTGTTCTGTTGACTTGCTCCTATGTGGGTTTACGGGAACCCTATTAGCAGTCTTGCTGTCTTGGGGGCCACCAAGGTCCTCTTCTCCTCTGCCACCTCCAAGTAACTCCATGTGAAGGGCACAGCTGTGGCTTCTACTGGCTCCTGCCCCATGTGCTCAGCAGTTCCAGCCTTTAAGGCTGCCGTGGCCTGAAATCCTCCAAGCAATTTTTTTTTTCTGTCTTTGTGGCTTCTCCCCCTTCATGAACTCTGTAGGTCTCTCCTCCTCTTCCCCTGAGCTCCAGTGGCCCCAGCTTGGCTGTTGTTGCGTTTTTATAGTTGTAGATTGGTTGATTTGTGGGAGAGAGTCCTCATGATTTTGTTGATCAGACAATGGCTGTCATCTTTGCTCCATAGTTACCAAGTATTTTTATTCTTATATTTATAAATACCAATTAGAATGATCAATCCCTTTAAGAAAGAGTAATAGTCATTAATATCAATTCTTACAAATAGGGCTGCTTTAAAAAGAAATTAAAGTTGGTACTAATGGACCATGATGGTTTACCAAGCATTAAGCAGGATGAAATATTTTAAGAATATAAGTGTCTCTGGACTCCAAGAGCAGAAATGCAGGCACACTTTAGGAAGGGGCTGCAACTAGAAATGGAGGCCATCAGGAGTCTTTTTTTCTCATTTATATTCTTCTCTGCTCTTCGTCGTGTGTATTTATTCTTTTTTCCTTTCAGCCCAGCCTCCTCTGCTATGTATTCCATGTGATAGAAAATATGACCCCAGACAACTCTTAATATATTACAGGTTCAGCCAGATAAGGAGAATCTGTCCTTCATGTGTTTTCTCAACCTTTCTGACTCTCATATGGCTAGGGAGATGAGGGCAGACAACCAAGTAGGTATTGACCAAATTCAAAGTTCTAGTTATTAGTCATAGTTAAATAACCTCAGGGTTTTTTTGTGTGTGTGTTAAAAAGCCTAAAGTGGACTTTTATAACCAGGTTTTGACTTCAGTATGTTGTTTTATTCATTTATGTATTTTTTTCATATTAACAACTCTCAGAAAAACATGCAAAAGCAGCCAATAGAATAGAAGGCAATTAGCTGTGTGACCATTGGTCCTGTTTCTTACTACTACTTCTTCAAGATAACCGAGGTCTGTGTTAGATTTCTGGGGCTAGAGTCCCAAACTAAGGTTTGTGGATGTTGTAATTATTCCTTTGATTTAGTCCATTCGTTTTCTCTGGGAATTCGTGAAATATTCCTAGACCATAGTTTTCATGGCTGCTGACATCAGAAGTTCCTAGAATCTAAGAAAAAAACAGATGACATCCCAAAGGTGAAAAATTCATCATCTTCTGGCAGCTTTCTTGCCCACCGTCTGTCTCCTTTTTCTCAGTCATCATTGTTAAACTGTGTAGATATATTAGTAGAATGCTTAGTAAATTATCTGTAATAACTTTTAAATTCTTTTTTGCAGAGAGTTTTAATGTCTATTTCTCTTGTCATCTTCTGTTCTTATTATGTTCATATTATGTTCATGACAAGGAGCGATAATAGGTTAAGGTAATATTTATGTACATAAANATTGAATTATTTTCATTTCTGTATCATCTGTTTCCTCCTAGTCATCTTTGTATACACACCGGCCTTCAGCATTTGTCCATGAATGAACTGAATCAAGTAAATGTTGGAGTATAAATGTTATATTTAATGAAAGAATACTGTCACATATTCATTTAGTAAAATGGGATGGTTCAGGTCCTTGTCATAAAGTATTGCAGAATAAAATACTTTCTTATTGAATGGCTAATGTGAAAATCATATTTCCTTTTTGTTCTTAGCAATATATTGTTCATCATCAGTTCTTGAGTTTCAGAAAATTTCATTTTGATTTTGCCATCTAAAGACTGTTTGAGATTTTGCCTCTATAGACAGTTTCACCATTAGACTCTAGAGTGCTGCTTTCTATCTCTTTGCATTCATCTTCAGAGTTGTCTAGTGATTGTGAAATGGTTTCCCCTGTCAGTTTATTTTTCTTTGTCAAAAAATGAATAATTCTGAATTTTCACCTGTGTTCCGTGAAAGCCAAAAAAAAAAAAAAAAACCTCCAAAGATATCTCCAAACTGCTGTTTACCTTTATAAAGATGATGTCATACTTAGGGCAATGCGAACAGAAAACTGGTTATTTCACTACTATGTGATACTTCTAGGTGATTCCATACGTCTTCTATTTTCTTATTATTTTAGTCTTTTTCAGCATAGTTGGGAATAGTTGATAAGTAATGATAAAATAAATCCTAGGATAATAAAATAACAAAATGTTTCAGGATACAGAAAAAACAAGATCATTACAATCCGTGGATTATTCTTAGATTTATGAAAGGATCCAATGTACCATTATGGTAATTGCAAGGTGGAATGAATTTTATTTTATTTTAAAAAGTAGGTAAATTTTTTGTTTGTTGGAAGACCTTTAAGAAAGAGTAATAGTCATTAATATCAATTCTTACAAATAGGACTGCTTTAAAAAGAAATTAAAGTTGGTACTAGTGGACCATGATAGTTTACCAAGCATTAAGCAGGATGAAATATTTTAAGAATATAAGTGTCTCTGGACTCCAAGAACAGAAATGTAGGCACCCTTTAGGAAGGGGCTGCAACTAGAAATGGAGGCCATCAGGAGTCTTTTTTTCTCATTTATATTCTTCTCTGCTCTTCGTCGTGTCTATTTATTCTTTTTTCCTTTCAGCCCAGCCTCCTCTGCTACGTATTCCATGTGATAGAAAATAGGACCCCAGACAACTCTTAATATATTACAGGTTCAGCCGGATAAGGAGAATCTGTCCTTTATGTGTTTTCTCAACCTTTCTGACTCTCATATGGTTAGGGAGATGAGGGCAGACAACCAGGTAGGTATTGACCAAATTCAAAGTTCTAGTTATTAGTCACAGTTAAATAACCTCAGGGGTTTTTTGTGTTAAAAAGCCTAAAGTGGACTTTTATAACCAGGTTTTGACTTGAGTATATTGTGTTCTTCATTTATGTATGTTTTTCATATTAACAGCTCTCAGAAAATCATGCAAAAGCAGCCAGTAGAGTAGAAGGTAATTAGTTGTGTGACCATCGGTCCCGTTTCTTACTACTACTTCTTCAAGACAGCCGAGGTCTGTGTTAGATTTCTGGGGCTAGAGTCCCAAACTAAGGTTTGTGGATGTTGTAATTATTCCTTTGATTTACTCCATTCATTTTCTCTGGGAATTCATGAGATATTCCTAGACCGTAGTTTTCATGGCTGCTGACATCAGAAGTTTCTAGAATCTAAGAAAAAAACAGATGACATCCCAGAAGTGAAAAATTCATCACCTTCTGGCAGCTTTCTTGCCCACCATCAGTCTCCTTTTTCTCAGTCATCATTTTTAAACTGTGTAGATATGTAAGTAGAATGCTTAGTAAATTATCTGTAATAACTTTTAAATTCTTTTTTGCAGAGAGTTTTAATGTCTATTTCTCTTGTCCCATTATATTCTTATTATGTTCATGACAAGGAGCGATAATAGGTTAAGGTAATATTTATGTACATAAAATATGAGTAATTTTTTTCATGTTTTCCAACATCTTAAAACAAAAGACTATGTATAATGTCTAGAGTCACTGAAGTATTATGTTCATGACAAGGAGTGATAATAGGTTAAGATAATATTTATGTACATAAAATTTGAGTAATTTTTTTCATGTTTTCCAACATCTTAAAACAAAAGACTATGTATAATGTCTAGAGTCACTGAATCATATTTAGACTATTTTGTATACTTTTAACAGTAGTTTTTCAAACAAACCCAGTAGTGATTTTCAAATTGGATTTTTCAGAGGTGCCTCAGGGAGTCTGGGGAACAAGGCAAGTAAGTAATGTGAGGCTTTAGTCTTCTACCTGTAATTCATCCAGAAATCTTTTCTAAAAATATGTCTTAAAAAAGTTCTGCTGCTTGAGGAGAAAACAGAAGCTCAAATAGGTAATCTATTCATTCATTTACTAGACATGTATTATATGCTAGACATTGGGTATAGAAAGATGGGAGAAACATCAATCAGCGGGGTTTCTTAGCAGAAAATCAAACTGAGCAAAATGTTAATTTTCCCCCTTTGGTTTAGAATTGGGCATATTCTGTATAAACATGCTTATGCATTTGTATAATTTGAAAGTATATTTTAAAGGCCATAATTCTGTCTGACACCTTTTATATTTTTACATCATTTTTTATATGAAGCAATATATTTTTCATAATGCCATGCACATAACTTACAGTCTTTTTGTTGAAAATACTTTTTTCTTTGCTTTCTAGAATGAAAGACTGAAAAAACTTTGTACTGATCTGGAAGAGAAGCATGAAGCCTCAGAGCTTCAAATAAAGCAGCAATCTACAAATTACCGAAATCAACTGCAACAGAAAGAGGTAAAGATTTTTGCAGTTACTTCATATTCATTTTACTGTAATGTATTTAGGAAGGCTTTTAAGAGTTATAATATAAATCAAGCTATCTTGATCCGTAAAAATATTGAAACGGTGTTAAATTTAATAATTCCTGACTCATGGGCCGGCCCGGTGGCGCACTGGAGAGTGCACCGCTTGGGAGTGTGGCGGTGCTCCCGCCGAGGGTTCGGATCCCATGTGGAGACCGGTTCCCGCTCACTGGCTGAGCGTGGTGTGGGCGCAACACCGAGGGTTGCGATCCCGTTACCGGTCAGTAAAAAAAAAAAAAAAAAAAAAGACGAAATAATTCCTGACTCATTTTGATAACACTAATTTAACAAGAACTTTCTAAGCTTTTTTACTAAGTTTATATTATATAAACTGACCTTTGTGGACTTTAATTTCTACTTTCCAAAAGAAGAAAAGTTTTTATGTAAAATGTCTTCAGGCATTTGTTGCTTGTAATTTCTGATTTTATGAAACTTTAATTTGTCATATTTTCTTAAGTTGTTATAAATCAGTGTGGTTATTCCCAATGACTTTTTAAAATGCTTTTGATTACAAGTGTTATTATTTGTTGTATTGGCATGTACTTGATTTTCCATGAAAAAGAACATTAAATATAATTATTCTGTTTTATAAATGTTTTTGTTTTCTTTTAGTTTGATTGAAATGGTTGTTTTGAAATTGGCTTATCTTTTCTTTGCACTGCTGGTCATAGATATTGTATGATATAATCACTGTTATCCCGAATCCTTAAAATGTAGACTGCGTCCCCATGTGTCATGCTGTTATTGAATTCTCTTTAGTGTTTAGTACATAGGTGGAGTCCAATAAATAGTTATACTTGTATTGAATTTACCCATTTTATTAGCCAGATCATTTAGGTGTTTTTCAGTTTGTTGATTTAAATGTTCATGTCTACCATAACTTCATATTGAGGTGTTTTAAATTTAGATATATTGATTTCTAGTACCTTCAGTGACATGCTAAGGTTAAAAATAAAAGTATACCACATTAAAGATAAATATAAAATTTAAAATAGAGCTTAAGTTTTTAATCTATTGGGAATTTGATAATTTCATAATACAATAAAGATAAATTACTTCAAAAATAAAATGAATACAGAAAGGGAAAGTTACAAGTTCAAATTAAAATTACAAGCCCACTTACTGCCAAATTGCTTTAAAACTCTNATGTAGAAATACTGTTACTTGTTGGCTGTTTTTTCAGTATCCCATTTTCGTTAGTTGTGGCAGAGTGTCTTTTGGACTAGTTTGAGTTCTTCATAAATGGCTTCTGACAGTTCTCTCTAGATTACTCACTTGTGTTTTTAGAAATCTTTCATTCCGAATGGATGTGGCATTATGGTAGATTCTGTGTTTGTAATTTCTTTGAAGCTGTGACTTGGTGTCCAATACATAAACTGACACAGGTTGTATTTTCTTATCATTTTAAGGTTTGATAATCACAAAAAGAGCCCTAAGAAATCGCCTATAGTACCCCATACATAGACGATAGCAAACCCACGTTTAACTGAGAAATTCGTTGCTTTAGTTAACATGTGAGTGAAATTTTGATCTTATACCATTTGAAACATTATCTGTGATTTCACTCTGGTGATCATGTTTGTTTTTTAAATAACCACGTTATGGATAGGATGTTATAGAAGACGTAGGTTCAGTTAACAGAGTACTATTATTTGATAATCTTAAACAAATTATTATACCTTTTAATATTATTAATTTATAAAAAGGCTAATATGGTTATTTTATAGTACTTTCTCTAAAACATGGATTATAAATATATAGGTCGAAATCAGCTACCGTAAAGCAAGACAGATTGCGCTACAGGATCAGTTGCTGACACTGCAGTCAGCCACTCAGTCAGTACATTCAGGAGCTGGTGGTGTACCGGCAACCGCTGCATCTTCTTCATTCGGTTCTGGGATCAGTCATCATGCCTCAGCTTTCCGTGATGATGACATGGACTTTGGAGACGTTATTTCATTACAGCAAGAAATAAACAGATTGTCAAATGAAGTTTCAAGACTCGAGTCTGAAGTTGGCTATTGGAAGCATATTGCTCAGGTAGCTAAAATTT